GGTGTAGTGCGTTTATTCATGGGTGTTTTGTGTAGTGTGTATTTTTTTTGAATAGCGTGTTTTTGGTGTAGTGTGTTGTTTTTTTTTCACTTTGAATTACTCAAGAACTACATTACAAAACACATACTGGAAAGAAATCCACGCAGTACAATAAAAAGACATACGGGAAAAAAACACGCACCGCACCTGAAAAACACACTAGAAAAAATACACACTGCACCAAAAACATACATTGAAAACTAAAACACGCACTACACCGTAAACACTCACTTGGAAACAAAACACACTACACCAAAAACACACAATAAAAAATAAAACACGCTCTACGTCGAAAACATACAGTGAATTACACAATAATTATAATAGAAAATAGACACTCGAAAAAAAACCACGCACTAAACCAAAAACACAAAGTTAAAAAAAACACACACTACACCAAAACACACATTGAATAAAATAAACTACACCTTGAAACACACACTGGAAAAAATACACACTGCACCAAAAACACACATTGAAAAATAATATACGCACTACATCGAAAACACACATTACACAACAAATAAACAGGAAAACACACACTGGAAAAAAAATCACGCAATACATCATAAACACACACTAACAAAAACACGCACTACACCGTAAACACTCACTTAGAAACAAAACACACTACACCAAAAACATACAATGAATAATAAAACACGCACTACATCGAAAACATGCACGGAATTACACAATAATTATAATAGAAAATAAACACCCGAAAAAAAACTACGCACTAAACCAAAAACACATACTTAAAAAAGACACGCACTACACCAAAACACACATTGAATAGAATACACTACACCGTGAAACACACACTGGAAATTGAGTGTACTTCTTGTGTAATCGAGTGTGCGTTTTTTATGTAGTATGTGTTTTACACTGTGAAACTGAGGTTTTGGTTTCTGTTTTCGGGGATTCATTGGTTTTCTTGATATGAAACGCCAAACAGGAAGTAGAGTGCAAAAATATGCATTAGAAAAGAAACTTTGGGAAATGGCATGATGGTTGGAGGGAATTTAGTAAAAACTTAAAACCAAGCTCAGTTATTATTATTATTATTACATCCTCACGAACAACAATAACTTTCATGGATTCATCATGAATCCACAATTTATGGTGCTAAAATAATAAAGATAAAAAGTTACACACACACAAACATATATATATATATATAGGAGATGATTGATGTAACAACTATGGATGGATGTGGATGTGTTCAAGAGTATGGAGTAGGCTTGGGCAAATTCTGGACGATGCCACAGAGCTGCTGAGTGAGTGGAATGTTGTACTCATCCCTCAGTGATCGAGCCGGAGATAGTACGCTGAAGTATAGTTGTTGTCCCAAGTAAGCTCTCTCAGCCATATCCGATCTCAGGTTCCACATTCCTGCGTTGTCCAGTGTGGTCATCACTGCTGCCCATGATTTTGGGTACACGTGAATGGTGTGCCTGCTCACTGCATCCAACAGGTTGTAGTTCTTCCTCTTCTCCGGGTTCCACTTTCCGGCCTCTATAGCTACTGCAAAGAATGAGTATCCATCCAAGTGCCATGTCTGGATAGTGTTCTCATTGTTCTCGAATATGATCTCAACAAAGTTCCTAAAAGTTGCGTTCACCACGCTTGGTGCCAAAACAACTTTTTTATCATTAGATGGCTCGTCCTTAACCAGATCATAGTTGAATGCCTTGTCGGCCAGTCCAAAGTACTCTGCCAGCTTCAATGGTGTCTCACTCTCAATATGGGACACTCCGTTGATGCCGAACCTGAGCTTGCCGTTGACCTGGTAGCGTGAGTTGGCAATCTTGATGGTGCGTGTGATATTGATTTTGCCGTAGTGGTACGAGCCTTGTGGGTTGGGGCGGGCAGCACTTGCCGTGAGGTTCCACCTGTAAGAGCGGAATTGGTTGACGGACCATGCAATACCAGCAGTGTTCTCAGGAGGGGGTGGTGGCAGCTCGGGTGATGCAGGGGCACCCTTGCCGTTGGCGTAGCGGATGATGGCCACGGAGCTCAGAGGCTTTTTGGAAAACCTACTAGAGGCAACAAGGTAGTAGTCCTTGGGGGCCTGATCAGCTGTGACAAGCACTGAGACGCACTGACCAGCGTGGAGATCAAGAGAGTCGTAAACATTCTGGACAGTGTGAGATCCTTCAACTTCAACTAATTTCATGATATGGCTCTGGAATCTGAAGTTGATGGAGGTCCTCAAACCGACATTGCAGACTCTGTACCTGTAGGTCTTGCCTGGCTCGACAATGGCGAGTGGGGTCAGAGGAGCAGAGCCAACCTTGCCAGATTGTCCATTGATGTGAATGCCGTTGGGCAAGCCAATGGTGGCACCACTGTCAAGAATCTTCTTGAGGGTCTTATGGCCCTTGTTGTACCAATCACCGAGGAGAACAGCAAACTCGTCAGCAGGAGTATCGAATGGGACAGGGATGAGATCACGGCTGTGGATTTGGAGCATACCCATACCACCAGCTGCCCTGTGGAAGGCGGTAGTAGGGAAGTAGAAATAGCTGCCTATCTGATCCTTCACCTGGAACTTATAGGTGAAATTCTGTCCGGGCAAAATGGGGCACATGGTGCCGAGGGTGCCATCCATCCAAGAGTTTTTCCTTTGCTGAATGCCTGTCCATGTGAATAATAAAGGCTCGTCAAGGTGGTTGAACACATTGACCACAATGTTGTTGTTGGAGGTGCAGTTTATCTTAGGACCAGGGAATTGGCCGTTGATCAGGATGCCCTGTTGTGGAACACCAAGTGGCGAGATAGTGCCGTAAGTCACTTTCCATTCCAGGAATACATAAGGATCCTCTGCCAATACCCCTGTCGCAGACAGGCATACCAACAATGCCCCCACCACAAAGATCATCATCTTCTTCGATCCCATTTTTTTTTCTCTTTCTATATGTATATATATATATATATATATATATATATATATATATATTTTTCCCTTTTTTCTTTTTTTTTATTTTGCCAAGAAGAAGAGGGAAGGAGAAATCTTCTTCTTCTTCTTCTTCTGGCAAGAGAGCTTGGATTGGATGTGTGCTGTTTATTCACCCTCAGGCAGGGCCTTTATATATCAGTTATACAGGCGTGTATTTGGTTGGTTGGTTGGTTGGTTATCGAAATTAACGGTCTTCCAATTACCTCTTGTTCAAATCCAACCACAAGAATCCATCTACATGTCCTCCTCCTACGATTTCTCATTGCTCCTCTCTCCATCCATTTCCTCAATCCTCTCTTTCTCTCTCATTCTTATACTCACGAAAAAGAAAAAAAAAAAAGAAAATTATCACAAATATTGCATAATAAGTAAATAAATTAAATATATATTCGTCTACCTAGACTACTTACTTTTTCATTATTTTTATTGGGCTAACTAAATGTGATTTTTAATTTCTGTGTTAAAAAGAAGAATATTACACCTAATGTACGATCCAAAAATGTCGATAAATTGTAAATTTTGCATCCGAGGACGAACTTGCAAATTTTGCTGAAAACAGGTGAGATGTTTTGTTATTTATGCCTGAAACATTCTTTTGTGTTTTTGATATTGCCCACATGTAACAATGGAAATAAATTACAAACAGTTAACTGCAAAATGAAGAAAACGGATATTTGATGAGTTGAAGAGTAGCTGAGCTCAGAGACGTACAAATTCAGAATTTAACTGCCAGTTCATATCAGAATTTAATTTAGAGATCATATGTAGGCAAGAAAAGGAATTTATCATATAAGAAATAATTTTAATGATAAATACAAAGAGGATAAATATCAAAACAGAGGAGCAAACATTTTGATTTTACATCCGTACTCGAGGAACTATTGGACAGAAGCCAATACACTATTATTCAATTCCCAACAAAACCCACATAAAATAGTACACACAATCAGAGAATGTAATATTGCATCTGTCAAAAAAAAAAAAGAGAATGTAATATTGCTTGTTCACTCGTGAGTAAACAAGTAATACAAGGGTGGGCTATATAACCCAAAAACACAGCAATCCTTCATACTAGGTAGCTAATCAAGAGTCTTGTGGAGCCTCAAACCTTGTCGGGGTATCAATTCCCATCATACAGCACAGCCCAGAAATCAAAATTACAAGCAAAACAATTCCCTGAAAATTTACAAATGCCATTAGTCAAGACACTGTCCAACAAAGGAGTCCCGACTCACTCTCAGCCAAAAAAGTTCAATATATCATAGAGTCAGAAACCAAATTAACCGACTTACCACTATAATTCCCTCCAAGAGTGATGACTTAAGCTGGCAAACTCCATCACAAAGTGTAGCTTTGGCTGATACATTTCCCACAGACCCTTCTGCAAGAAATCTTTCTAGTCCCCGATAAGACAGCTGCTCAGCAGATCTATGTGGGTCTGAGACATACAGAACTGTGTACTTTGCACCCAACTGATTCACTGAATTGACAAGTTGAGAAAGAATGCTGCCTGCATATACAATCAGACTATTTACTTGAATCGTGAACTAAAGGATAAGCTAATAAAATGACAAGGGTTTCAAGTTTAGAAGAAAATCAAATCTTCAGAAACCGTTAAAGCATTGATTTAATGTAGCATACTCTCAGAACGTGGTTGATCAGAACCTCCAGGGCACAACACAATGAGATCCGTATGCCCATCCGATACTTTCTCAGTCCTAGAGTACAGGTAGTCCTGCCAGTAAAGTACAATATCCCATTCATTAGGACTAAATAAACAAAGGCAATCAGATTATGAGATTATTTCTAGGTACTTACATGAACTGAATGAAAATGTCGTAATTTATCAAAGTTTTCACCCTCTACAGCACATGACCCTACTAAAGCAACACTGCTGGTTTCAAAGTTATGCTGACAAGTATCAGCAAACTCTGAAATGAAAGAGCTTTCTATTGCCACTTTCTCCTCTCCAGCAACTATATAAGGAAAGGCCAAGGAGGAGCTGGAGTTTGAAAAAGAATCCTATCCATGAAGAAGCCACAGTTTAGTGTTAAATGGGTCGAAATGATATGACACTGAAATAAGACTCCAATAACAATATAAAAGAAATTTATACAAGTAAAGAGCAAAACTAATTAACCTTGAGCAAGTCTATAAGAGCTGGATCAGTCTTTGAAGGCCTGGATATATCCACAGATTGTAACTGCATAACAAAATATATACTTCAAGCACCATAAGAAAGAAGCTAGTATAGAAGTTGTTGAAAGATTCCAGATATGTTAAGCTATAAGTCACAAAATTTTGTGGAAGTCGTTATTTACAGATGTTGAACAGATATATAAACAAAGGAGCTATGTGATGCATCAAACGAAGTAGATTACTCTCTTCACACATCACATCATAATTAAACTATTGCAAGTGAAAAAAGAGAGTGTGGGTTATCATTCCTTTCATTTAAATGCTGACGTGTAATTCCTTAATTACTTATGATAGAAACTTGCAGATATTCATTTCATGACACAATCCCTTATGACATATAGTAGGTTTAAAGTATTTATATAGTAATTGGCAAAGTTCATAAAATAAGTATGCCCATCCATTCATAAGAATTAAGAACTGTATCGGAATATAATGGCCTTCAAATCGTAGTCTCACGATCCTGTTGATACGAAATATTCACTGAAATGTGTAAAGTCAAAAATACTATCAACAACTAACATATAGATGCAAAAGAGATTTTCTATTTTCATTCACATGGATGTGGGGGCAGGGTCAGCATAAAAGATAACTAATTATATTCTTGCATAATAAGACCAAAGAAAACATATTAATACCTCTGTTCCAATGAAAAGAAAGGCAAAATTCTTCGACTGTTGGGCTTCCTGTCTTGAGCACTGAATATAATGAAACAAAAGGTTTTTATTTAAGTTGAAATTGCAAGGAATCACTACCTAAGTATCACAAAAAAATTATACACTAGTCATACTTATTCTGTTCATACATAATGCATAATTGTTTTGCTCTGAACATTGCAGAGAAATAACTGATTTCTAGGATAAGAATGACACAAAATTTATAGGTATACCAGGTATTTTGACCATCCACCTTCATTCATTGCAGACTTTGCCAAATCTCTTGGAGAGAGAATTCTGTAATCTACCATTTCTTTCTTCCTGAAACACAATTGCACGAGTTTTACAGATTAGTTTTGGGTTCAACTATAAGTAATTCACTAGAACATAATTACATATAATGAAAAAAGGTTGAGATTGATAGGGTAAGGGTAAGCACAAAAACCTAAACTTGATTGATACAGAGTGATAAAATCAGGTGCTATAGAGGTTTGGATAACTTGAGGAGAAAACAAGCTAATAGAAATTCAAGATACAAAGTCCAACAACCCCTTCTACAATCCCACAACAGGATTAACTTCTGATAACTTGAATCAAACTGGAATACCTAGAGTGTATAAGGTTGGGTATGGCTGAAAGACCAAGCAGCTTAATACTCAATACAAGATCAATCATAAAAAAATCATCTGAGCTTGGATCTTCGACATAAAGAATCAACTCGAACATATTTTTCTTTCGATAATATATGAGCTCAGAATCCGGTTAGTAAAAGACAATAGAATAAGTATAAAATGATCAATCCACCAGAGGTCAGTGCGTGTTCTAGCTCAAGCTAATTCGACATCGAACTGATTTATAATCAAACCAAGTTCAAACAGAATATGAAAAATTCAAAGAAGCTTGACCACAATGTGTCTGGCCCGACTCTATCTATTTATACCATTAAGTTTGGGTAGATATTAATTTTGTATTGAAGTGCTCCACAGAAGAAATAGGAGTAGTGAATGTGCATAACTGCAGGGACAAAGAGGAAGAATGAGAAGCAGCAAAAGGTGGCAGGAGACAAGAAGGAAAATCAGGCATATTTGTGTATAGCTTTCTAAATCTGAAGTTTGTTCTTCAGATCAAAGTAGAAAGCTTTTTTATAGCAGAGGTCTTAAAAACTTTATCAATGAATATTACTTATTAGCACCCATCAATTTTATGTAAATCAAACCACATAAAAATTCCCTTTCCATCTTTTAAGGAAATCGAGATTATTCAACAGGATAATTCCTTGTCAATCAGATAATAGCAGGCAGTGACCCCTCACGAACTACATAAAAGAAGATATAATTGATGAGAACCAATGGCAAACAATTACCCATCCAGATGGGACGACCATAGAAAAGCGGGCACCGTTGACGAGAAAGTGAGACCCAGAGGTAAATGAGCCGAGATAACAAGAAGAACAGCCAGTAATGCCACCGAAGCAGCTGCCATCTTCCTCCTCAATAACCAACGATTACACCGTGTATGAATTGAATTGGATTCAGTAGTTCAGCTAAACGTAAGAGAGAGAAAGAAACGTAAAAGCAAATTAATAATCAGAAATCAATCCAATCAGCCTGGATCTAAATTGAGGTCACATAATTGCCGTTGGCCAGATTGAGAAGAAAAAGTAAAAAGCGGATCCGTAGAAATCTTACCTGCAGAAACCAAATTAAAGGAATCAAAATCGCAGAAGTGCCCACGTTTATTGAATCTGCTCTGCCGGTTCGTCGGTTTTCCCCTAAATCCCCACAAACGTGTGAATGTGATACAACAGAGCCGAGAGAGGTCACAATAAGATGCAAATAAGTAATAACAATAAATAATATAATGTCATACAACACAGTTGAGATGTATTTATTAATTTCGATTTTATTTAAACAAATTGTTCA